TTTAGGTTCATCCTGAAATTTCACACCAAGGCCAAATAATCCTTATCGTGAGTAGTGTATTTGTCCACGTTACCGGAAGTGTCAACAATGGTCATGACGTGTGGTGCCTGGCACCTCATAGTGCTGCTCTGGTTGTACTCTGTGTTGGTGGTAGAGGAGCTGCACACGTAGCACTTCTAGGAGGTTACTGAACAGATTTAAAGTCATCGGACGAAAACTAAAAACCTTGAAGCTGAAACAATATGGTAACAATCCTCCTGAAGGAAGATCACAGGGATTTTAGATTTCATACAGCAAGTTGATAAGAATACCAGAGATTTTTACTCTTTATAAAGCAGACAATAAACATCTGTCACCCGTCTATTTATAATCTACTAAACCTAGTGTTTGGTCATTAACATTTGCACTCACAGTAACTTTGAGGATGGTTTTTATTAGACATATATATATATATATGCATATATATATATATATATATATATATATATATATATATAGAGAGAGAGAGAGAGAGAGAGAGAGAGAGAGAGAGAGTGAGAGATAGATACCAGTCTCCGGGTCCAGCAACTGCTCTGACCCTGGGAGAAGACATGGAGGAATACAGGTACAAATCATCTTTTGAAGAATTGAGAACTTTGGTGCCAGGCTTTCATTCACAGGTGACAAAACAGAAGGAGAGAGAGGACAGAGAAGAACCTGGGAGGTCCCACATAGCAGAGTGGGTACTGCTGAATGTCATCATAAGGAACAGGAAGGAGCCGAGGTGGACAGGCACCTACAGAGCTGAACCGAGGTGGACCGGACCTCATCTGGTGGTTGAGAGAACATCGCACGCCAGCGGAAGAGCCGAACCGATCACTGGACCAAGTTGGGATCGATCTGGTTGAAGAAAGCCCCCACTTTGTCAGGACGAGTGACCTGACTGCCCCCACTGTATCGAGATCAGTGACTCGATAAGCCCAGAAGCCCCATTACACCCCCTTCTACCCCACTTTGTCAGGGCAATTAGCCTGACACAAAATAGTCAGAGGCTGGGAAAGGAGAACGGAGTCTCCAAGCCCTGACACACACACTCATATAAAAAAAACAAAAAACAACTGAACTTATTCCCCCAAAAAAAGCGAGAAGATGGACCCACTGACTTAGGGCTCTCCAGTGCACACGCGTCCCTAGAAAAGTTTAAAACATAAATTGACATAAAGATGTGTTGTCTTATGTTGTCTTACACGGTTAATTAACAAATAACATCCTAATTTCAAAAATGATTATTTACAAACGGGCTATATAACTAGCACGTTTTCCAAAAACCTGCATCAGCAAAACCCCAAAACGGGTAGCAGCCCTGGCAGCTCTGCCACACTCTGGCTACCTAGTGTCTGCTTCAGTGGCTCCTACTATTGTGACAGGTGCAACTCAAGCTGGTATTTGCCAGTAAATTTACTGGCATCTGCCATGCCACAGCTGCCATGGCAGCTGTGGCATGGCAGCTCCCGCTGGTTTACTGGCAGCTGCCACAGCAGCATGGCAGATGCCAGTTAACTAGCGGCAGGTGCCACAGCATGTAATATTAATGATAATAAAAATAAATCGAGAGAAGCTGTGTCATCTGTCATTAAAACAGAAACCATGTCATCTGTCACTAAATCTCTGTCAGCTGGCAGTAATTCCATGGCAGATGTCAGTAAATAAAAATAAAGAAATAATAATAATAAAAAAATTGGGGCAGGTAGAAAAATAAATAAATGTAGAGAAGCTGTGTCATCTGTCACTAAATTCCCTGGCAGCTGCCATAAACTAGCGGCAGGTGCCACAGCAGCGTGGCAGCTGCCAGTAAAGGTGTCAGTAAATCATAAACTAGCGGCAGGTGCCACAGCAGCGTGGCAGCTGCCAGTGAAGCCAGTCCGGATGCAGCGTGACACCTGACACCAGAAGACTGCCACTGCTGCGATTTGCGCTCGGCCCTGTTTTTTTTTTTAATAATCTTTATTAAAGCAAATGACAAGTATACAACAAACAAAAGGCTGGAGTATACAGACAAACACAACACTTACATGAACAAACAACCAAGGGTGTGTTTTTTAAACAAATATTTGCGAAGATTTACATATAGAAATTGTCCTAAGGGCCTTTTTGTTGGTAGAGTCTGTGATTAACTTTACATATAATTCCACATCCTTAATAAAATGAAGAAAGCATGGCGTTTTGTTAGTAAATTTACATTTATGAATGAAAAATTTGGCCAAAAGAATTAGCAAGTTTATTATAAAAAAAACATTTAGCATCCTTTCTGGGGAATCTAGAAAAACAAATTAAAACATTTTCCCAACGTAAGGAAAAATTCCTTAAAATATAAACCTGCTAAACTCCTTCCAAAACCTGTGTGTGAAAGGGCAGTGCCAAAAAAAAAGTGTCACAGTTTCTGGAAGGTCACCACAAAAACTACAATCAATATTTATGTCTCTTTTAAATTTTATCATATAATGTTTAGCGGGGTAAATTTTATGAAGAATTTTAAATGAAACTTCCTTCACCTTATTTATAATTAAATATTTATGGGGAGTCATCCAGACTGTCCTCCAGTTGATATATGGAATATAACGGCTCCAATAAGATGTTATATATTACCGATCATGTCCGGTAAGATGGCGCCCGTGTACATGGCTTGCAATCCACCTCTGCTGATGATGTTCGGATTATTTTTGTTATTTGCATTTCACATCTGTGACATCAACTCTCTGCTGGTGTATGACAGACAACAACTTTTGAATCTTCATTTTTCTGTCACTGAAGTCGCTTATTTGGACCATTATCAGCGTACCTCTGGACCCCCCCCCTCCCCCTCCCCACCTCACAGCCGCCTTTGACACCATCGACCATGAGATCCTCATTGCTAGGTTGGAGCAGTGGGTGGGCGTCACAGGATCAGCCCTCAATTGGTTCAGATCTTACCTCACTGACAGATCCTTTAGTGTCTCCATAAAGGATTTTAGTTCTGCAGAGGCAGAGCTTAAATGGGGGGTTCCGCAGGGGTCCATCCTGGGTCCCCTCCTATTCTCTTTATACCTGCTGCCGCTTGGTGCTATTTTCCGGAAACACAACATGCCCTTCCACTTCTATGCTGATGACTGTCAAATTTACTTCGCCCTAAGACACAATGGTACATACTCTATTCAACCGCTGCTCAACTGCCTGGCTGACATCAGGGACTGGATGGCTTTAAACTTCTTAAGTTTCAGTGAAAAGAAGTCTGAAGTCATGTTGTTCCCTCCCAACGACACGATCACAAACCACTGCATCAACCTCTCCGCTCTAACCCTGTCAGAAAAACAACGAGTCACTAATATGGGGTGATAATGGACCCTTCTCTGAAGCTTAACAATCGATTGTTAAATCATGTTTCTTCCAACTGAGGCGGCTGTCTAAACTGAAGCCCATATTGTCCAAAAAGAACCTGGAGACAGTAATACATGCATTCATTACATCTAGGCTTGATTACTGCAATTCACTCCTGTTTGGTATCAGTCAAACCTCCATTGCACGACTACAACTGGTCCAGAATGCAGCAGCCCGATTTTTAACCAGTACAGGCAAAAGAGAGCACATTACACCAGTTTTGGCTTCACTGCACTGGTTACCGGTTCACTTTCGAATCCAGTTCAACATACTCATGTATGCCTACAAATCACTGAACAGTGTCGCCCTTCCCTATCTCTCTGATCTGCTACAACCGTATGTCCCACCACGTTCCCTGAGGTCAGCGGACCAGTTGCTCCTCACAGTTCCAGGAACTCGTCTTAAGCGCAGAGGTGATAGGGTCTTCTCTGTAGCAGGACCAAGACTTTGGAACGAGTTACCTCTGCTTGTCAGACAGGCCCCCTCCCTCTCGGTTTTCAAGTCCCGTTTAAAAACTCACTACTATTCAGTAGCTTTCAACACCAGATGATCTGTGTTTTGATCCTGTATGCTCCACATTGGTTTGTCGTCATTATCTGCATCGTTTTTATGTCTATATTCTGATTTACCTCATTTTGTATTTGTGTTACCTGTTGTTTTGTCTGTACAGCACTTTGGTTGGCTTTGTAGCTGTTTTAAGTGCTTTATAAATAAAGTGGTATGGTATGGTATATATGGACGAGAAATTATGCCTTCTTGGAACAACCTGCGTATTCTCTTATTGTTGTTACCACGCTGCTGTGAAAAGCAGGTTTTCCCCACTGATGACTCAGCTGGACCAGGGAGAGGAACTGGATGCGCTCGATCCTGTTGGAAACTTAGTATGTGAGTTTTAACTTGATTCGGAGTGAAACACTTCCTCAGAAACGATCTTTGTCACCGCGGTGTATTATGGTCCCACACAGTCTGTGGCTCCACTCCTTGTTGGTGCACTGTCTCGTGATCTGGCTGGAGGTGGTTTCAGCAGAAGGAGTCTATCACTTCAGTGAAAGAAAATGCTGCTGGAGGAATGTGCTACGGAGCAGGGACTGTGATGTGAAAAGTAGGGCATTCGGACACATCCATCAACTTGAAACGACGATCTGAACTGTGCGGAAACCGCGCTACTTTTTAAGCCGGTGTAAAAATTGAGCGGACCCATTCTCTGTTATGCTAACCCGGAGAGCTATGCGTTTTCAAAACGAATCAGCGTCTGGATGTAGGAGCCATCGGTTACCAAAAGCGTTATCATTTACGTCGCTCGTATTTTCGGTAAATCTTACGACGAATCCGTTTGTTTACAAAAAATGTTAAAACAGTAAGAGGACGTATCTGAGCACTTTTGAAAAGGTTAGAAAAAGTAATGACACGTCCAGACTGTAGTCAACTTGTCATAACTAGAACCTCTACCTGCTGTGATGCTTGTAAGCTCGGGCCACTCATGAGATGCTTCGTCTAAACTTGTAGCCCACACCTGTACTTTTTCTTTCTTTCTCGCTCGCTCTCTACGGAGACTGAACTTATGCTGCCAGTGCCACATTTTTCATGACCTCTCCGCTGTGGTGAACATGGCAGTCTGTGTAAAGGCTACGTGTCTTGTCGGCGTGGAGGTGAAACTGCACAGACTGCTGCTGGTTGGTTGTATGAACTCCTCCAGGACGACTTTTGTTGAAAAGTTTCACCCGAAGAGCCTTTTCAGCTCTCTGTGCCCCGTTCCTTCAAGGCTTCAAGGGACTCGAAGCTTCTTCCCTTTCAGCGCATGCGCAGTGGCTCACCCGCTGAAACGCACTGGTCCACCTGGAAGAAGTAAAGTGGGATTCTTCAGCAGGAGCTACAGTGATGTCCCCTCACATTTCTTTCACAGTCGAAGCCCATCGGGGTTCAGATGCCTGCAGAGATCTGAATCTGCAGGACTGAGGAGGGAGATCCTGCTGCCAGGAGGTGCAGCCTGGCCAGGAGGTAAGACAGAAGAATTAAAAATAGATTCATACTTGGCACTAAGAGCACGATTTCCCCCCCAAATATTTAGTTTTAGGATATAATAAAACATAAGCATGCTTTTTCTAGTTTTTATAACTAATGTCACACCATGTTTCAAATGACGGTGTCAAAAACAAGTGTTTTTCTGGTCTGGAATTGAACAGAGAATGCAAATATGCCAATGCAAGATATTCAAATGGGTAGGAGTTGCACTGTGTATAAAAATAGAGGTAGTTTTTTTTAAATTTATTATATTTTTTGGTAGTCCAAAGCAGCACAGGGTGATGGATCCTGGCAAATGGAATGAACAATTTCATCCACGCCAGGTACATTGGCAGAGCCATAGGGGGGCTAATCGTGGCATTGGCCACCCTAGATTAATCTTTGGCCACCTGAAGGGCCACCCCAATCATTAGAGGAAACTATGTTTTTAAGCAACACAAAAACTGGAATGCACAGTTTCCTCAAATAATTGGGGTGGTTAGTTTATATACGTGTATGCAGGTAGTCGTATTGAACTTTGAATTGGCTATACAATTTTAATAGGGACCTTTTTTATGCCTAGCTGCAGCTATACATCAAAATGTAAGCCTGTACCTCACTTATTTTTAAAGTTATCCTGCTCACAACATGCATGGACAGACGAACAGGTAGGAAGGATATTTCCAATTGCAGTAAATGAGTCCATCCTCGCTGCCTTTTCAGTAAGGTTTGTTACAGCCAAATTCTGCTAAATGCACTTGACTTATTTACTATTTTTGTAAATTGGTTTCAAAAGTTTGTGAACCTTTGAGATTATTTGCAGATTTGAAGGTGAAAGTAGGCGGAGGTGTTTTTAGTTGTCAGTGGAGGTTTGATGTCAGAACAATGTTGACTCATCACTGTCCAAAGCAATGCAACAAAGAAAATGTAATACTTTTTTCCCCAAAAACCTTCCTGACGGTCTGGAAATTAAAGATTACATGCGTGGGTTTTCTCCAGGTACTGCAGTTTCCTCCCACAGACTTAAAAACATGCACGTTAGACTGATTGGTAACTCTAAATTGTCCCTAGGTGTGAGTGGATCTCTGATAAGAAGTTTAATTTGGTTGTCTTGCTTTAGGGCAGGTGTGACACGCCTTTTTTCATAATAATGTTGTAAAGCTCTAGTAAATTTATAACTCTAGAATGTTTGTTGAAGACCTTAATGCTGCATTTCGGCAGCTGAAGAATAAATAAACAGTACTTTATTAGGTTTACTGTGTTTTTATGCATTTATTTTTGACATCAGTCTTTTCTTTCAACAGTGTCCGTAATCCGCAGAAGAGGGACAGATGCTCCCGTTTCCAGTGTGTCTCCTATTTTTTTAGTGGTGAGGTTTCTACGGATTCTGTTTTTTGAACTCTTATCGCAGTTTATGTTGCACAATGTAATAGAAGAAACCGTTGCAGACCGTTGAAACTCACAAAGTTAAAAAACTTACACACTGAGGAGAAAAATACGTTAAAGCTGGTGTGTTCAGACAACAGTTGCTAAATGTCATACATCCGTTTTGTTTGTGTTTGACAGATGAAGTTTGACCCCGAGGGAAACGTGACATCGTTTGGTACGTGTTCATTGTGTTTATGTAAGGTTTTATTTCAAGCCATAAGCAGGATTCACTTATTTACTTGAGTCATGTGAAAGAACTAGCTGTATCATGTGTCTGTAGTCATGCATGATTTTATTATGTCAGTAAAATCAAACATGTACAGGCCAGTAAATATAGAGGCCTGTGTCATATGAAACCAGATATATAAAATATAAAAGAATTTGACGTCTCCCTAAGTTCTACCTCATATTTTTGAATACAGAAAAGAAAAAGACCGAACTTTGCCAGGAACTGAGTCTTCAGGCCAGAGACCTTCGCTTCCAGCACAACACCAGCCTCACTACGAGGAACAACTGCATCATCATCCGAATGGCCGTATGTTGCCTTTTTTCTTGATTATAAATGAGGAACATCTGGCTTTTTATCAGAAAATGTTCCATCAGTGCAATCAAAGTCAGTATATAGTACATGTTGATGGATTTATTCCCCATCAGCCATAGACTATAGTTCTATAGAAATGCCTACTTTCACTAATGCAGCGTGTCAGTAAAGTTTGTTTTTAAACCAAGTGTTAGTATCATAAGTTAAATACATCAAGGCATCTCACAATGCAAATGATAAAAACTGAAACAATGTTTCCCTTAAGGCACCAAAAACACAACACAGCATTTTTATTGTAGGAAAATTACATTTTATGCTCCAAATCACATTCAAAGTATATCTCTATGTATTGAAACACTAAATCCTGCTAGAGAGCAGCATTCTTTAGCTCGAGCCACAGTTGACTGTCCTCCAGAGGGCAGACGGGGGACGGTGTAATAACAGTCATAACGCCTTCTCATTTTACACCGATTCTCTGTTTCTGTTGGAAGTTCTTGTTTAGTTTGTATCATCTTCACTGTGAAGTATCCACACGCACGGTCACAGCTGATGAAAACAGACTGCACGGCCACATCAGTGTTTGTATTAGAAATAAAACTAAATAACGGTCTAGGAGTGCATTGGAGCCCTTCAAGTGCTTTCCCCAATGCCTTAATTGCTAAACTTTTAAACAAAGCTCTTGTGGAATCAGTCAGTACTTAGAATACCGTAATTTCCAGACTATAAGCTGCTACTTTTTTTTTTTTTTTTTTTACAGGCTTTGAACCCTGCCGCTAATTTATGGATTTTATTTTTTTTTGACAGGTTAATGAGCTTCATGCCTCCAAAACATTTAGCCTCGGCACACCTGGGCGCTCACATAGCTGCCCAATACACGTCTCTCTCAGCGAGTGGGTCCTTGTGGGACTGTATAACCTGTAACCTGTATAAATAAAGGTTAAAAAAAAGAAATGACCCAACAGATCACAATGGACCAATGAAACTTCAAATGACCGTAAATCAATGCACTCACACTAATTTCTTTAGATCAGTTATTTTGCGCTTCATGCACATGCCCTTATCATGGAAAACTCAGAGAAATGCAGATGATGCAGCTTTCAAGTTAAAGGCGATCGATCTGGCTGCTCGTAAGCCTGGCGTCAATGAATCGATGGTGAGACGTTGGAGACGGCAGCGTGAAGAAATGAATCAATGCAAAAAGACAACAAAAGCATTCAGAGGTTAAAAAATAAAATAAAAATCAGATGGCCCAAACTTGAAAACATTCTTGAAGACTGGGTGAACACAGAGAGCAGACGGGCGAGGTGTTTCCACCGTGCTGATCCGACTGAAAGCCAAAACAATGGCCACCGAAAACAAGATTGAAGATTTTAGAGGTGGACCGTCGCGGTGTCTCAGATTTATGAGACGAAAAGGCATGCCATAGAACACAGTGATCAGTGACTTTTCCTGATAAGCTACTGTATTTATTTATTTATTTTTACCGGCCTTGTTACAGACACTGTTTAGGGAAAAAAACATTTACTGTTTGTATTTGTGTACGTTACGGGTACATATTTAATTAAGAGTTAAAAAAAATCTTTCTGTGAATATTTCATGTTACAAGGTGGACACCTTGACTTATATACAAGTGCAGCCTCTGTACAGTATGTACAAATGATTATTTTTTTAATTTAGTGGACACGGCTTATATTCGGGTGCACTCAATAGTCTGGAAATTACGGTATGACTTTCAGCTTCCACCACATCAAACTTTAGCTCAGTATCTGTAAAGTTGACTGAACTTATAACTTTTTTGTCTTTGCTCATGCTGCTTAGCTGCACTCACAGGCCATTGCACGATCCCCTGCCTTTCATAGTAGCTGTCGATAATCAAGTAAATAATATTTTTGTGCTGCTATAAATGTAAAATTTCACACCAAGAAGTTTAAAGATTAAAACTTTACATTAAAGTCAAACCGCCAGTGAACAGAAATTTAAAATCAGCTCTAGAACTGTAAGGATGTTATATCAGCTATACATTTTGTAGAAATTGTCACCACGCAGTATTTTGATGCTTAAAGGTTTTTAATTGTACAGATGTTAGGAGGTTTCAAATAAATTGTCCTCACGTGTTTATTTTAGCTCCCATCTCAAACACGTGGCACTCCGCACACGCAGCTGGGTCAAACTGGACAGTCCTCACAGGTTGGACTGCTGCACGGTGGCTCCCATGTGCACGTTCCACAGACACACATGCCTTTTCCATTACACACCATCTGACTTGTTGCCAAGCAGGAAGTGGTGTCTGTGCTGCAGCTGCAGGTCTCACCGATCCATTCGGGATGACACACACATATTCCACACGCACATATTCCATTGCCCCCACAGAGTCTGTTGGGTAAAAGTTATAATATTTTTAACATCATTTCTTTTTGGAAAATACTTAAAAATATAAAGATAAACAGTTTTGAAGCCTAACTACCAGCTGTCTGAAGCACTGTACCTGTTGTTGTGGAGTGGACAGTCACTCGCAGTATTGTCCACTGTGTGCTTCATTTGGGTTTTTCTGTGTGTTGCACTCACAGAAGCACCACACACTGACCCCTGCCGCTGCACACCGGGGCATTTGGGCCCAAGCGGCACAAACTTTCCTCATGTAACAAAAAGGAGTCCCTGTTTATCTGGCAGCGTTGTCCAAAATAAGGCTCATAGCACTCACATCGGCCACAGACGAGAGTCCCGTGACCACTGCAGTCAGGGCTGGCTTCTTCACGGTTCCCAGTGCAGTTACACTGACCTGTGGGAAACAAGTGTCATTTGTTCATTTACTCACAAGCTGGTTGTCACATCAAAGTCACCTTTTCATCCCTTGATTTATTTAACCAGGAGAACGTTAAATTAGTCCGAACAAGGCTGACTTCACTTTGTTTTGTACTTTTAAAATCTTCAACTTTGAGCTGTGATGTGGTTGTGATGGCTTACACCCAAGTGTGCTGCTAACTTGATGCTCAGTGAAAAGCCTCTGGGTGTGATTAGAATGGACCAGGGTCCAATCTCGTTTTGGCCACTGTTACTGGGACATTGAGCAGCTTCCACCTTCACCTACAGGGGAAAATGAATTATTATTATTTTTATCTTGAAAGAGTAAAAACAAACGTCACACAAGAATGTCATGTTCCATACACAGTATCAGACACCACCTTTCAGAGTCAGAGTCAGAGTTTCTTTATTGTCATTCGCACCTCATGTGGTACATGTGGTGGAGCGAAATTATGTACACGGGGTCCCAGTTACATCCAACAATAAAATGTATAAGAAAAACAGTAATAACATCTAAGATATGAACTAAGAAAAACATCAACTAAATATACACTAAGCACTCATAACATAAAACATTGAACATCAGCACAAACATGAACATGAGTCTGTGAGCAGATGTGCACGCATGAACACATCAACATTGAAACAGATCAGCAGCAACATGAAACAGATCAGCAGCAACATGATATGGTTTTTCACAGTGATTATTCTAGTTAGAGATTCATGAGTCTAACAGCCTCAGGGTAGAAGCTGTTCTTCAGTCTAGTGGTTCTACACTTAATGCTCCTCAACCTCCTTCCTGAGGGGAGTGGGGCAAAAAGTGTGTGTGCTGGGTGAGAAGCGTGTTTCACCCAGCACCGATCGTAACACTTCTTTTCTAACCTAATCTGATTAATTTAGTGACAGCTCTTCAGTGTATGGGCTGTTAAACCTTTGACCAACCTGTCAGTAACAATACATTTTATTCAGGCATTTAACTGTTTGTTTTGTTCAGAAAGTGATCAAATCTATTTTTATTCCTCTAAGTTTGCACATTCTCAATGAAATGTCACCTTTAAATTTTAGAACACAAAAAGTTACATGACATGGTCATCTAAATCATATAAAATTTAGAAATCATATAATTTACTGTAAATATACGTGGATATTACTTGGAACAAACTGCTGAAATAACATTCAGTTTTCTTTCACAACATTTCTTAAAACAGTTCCTGTGCATTTATTGACATATGAAGGCAATTACTATACCAGATTATCATCTGATAAGAACTTGCTTTCTAATGTAGCATAATGTTCCACACTGTAAGAACTTTGGGTTAGAGTAAAATGCAAAAATTATGAACATGCTGGACTTGTAATGTTAGACACACATTTATAAACTTAACATTGAATTAAATAATAAAACTACAGCCTTAAAGCACTTCTGAATTTCTTTCAGATAACAACAATCTAGTAACATGGCAAGGTAGTAATCTGTTTCAGCTACAGTAATACCACTCACACTGATGTCAGTGTAGAGATGAATGTTGTGAGACACCAGTGTCTTTAAAGCTGCAGAGTCTATTGCATTATCCAGAGCAGAGAGTTCATCTGACTCCAGGTTTAAAGTCTGATGACTTCAGGTTTCTCTTCCAGATGGAGGGGATCTGTATCACACACAAAATAAATTATCTTTAAATACACATTTCTCTGGCATCAATAAAGTACTCTGCACAACAACTAAAAGAACTTATTCGGGCTGAAGACTTAGCTCAGTATATGAAACTACTCTGTACTGATAAATGTATGTGTGTGTGCTTTAAACGATTCACAAACTGCATGAAGATGTGTGAGTTTATATTACCGGTGGGAGAAGTGAAGGCTCTAGATGCCTTCCCAAAAATGATAAGAGTCGTCTCCAGATGAGCCCGCTGCCCAAGAACATGAAGCCAGTTACCAGCCAGAAAGCCCGAGGGTCCTGTGGCAAACACAGACATGCCAGTATAGGTGGAGGTAACCAACACTCTCATTGGGTTGTGTTAGCAGCAAAATGTCTCACGTCTTCAAAAGCTGTTGTTAAATTCATTCCAAAGGCGACTCCTATGAGCCCAAACAGAGTGAGAGAGAAGGAGCCCATCGTCAGCTGCAGGTTCAGACGCATCATCACGTTACGATGGCTGCAGGAAACCAGACAGCAGAGACAGGACCAGCATGTGACTTTACTTCAAAGGAACTTGAAACGTTTTCACTCACGGTGTTTCAAGTGTAAAAAGGACAGTAATCAACATTAGAGCAGTATTAGTACCAAACAAACTTCTGCAACAGTTTTAATAATTCAGTCGGCTGTTTTTAATCATGTTAAAATGTCTAAAACCAATTACCTTTGCACATTTGGAGTGTATATATGCAGTGCAGTGAGTGTGTACCTGTCCAGATTAATAAAGATGACGCTCTCCGAGTCGTCTATCAGTCCCTTCAGCTCTCTGGCTTTGTTTGCCAGCTCCTCGGCCTGCACGCAGCAGTAATCATACAGTCAGAGTAAAACAACATTTGAAAATGCGACTTTATTTTAGGCTTAAACACAGGAGCAGCGTGTGGAAAAATTAGGAACCACCCCATATTTCAATATTAGGTTCAAGTCTTTCACATCACTGTGGAGAACTTTGGACCCACTCCTCTTTACAACAATGCTTCAGCTCCTTCAGGTTTGTGGAAAATGTTAAGCACAGTTCCCTCAAGTTGTGCCATGAAGCATTTCATTCAGTTCAAATGGTCTGGACTTTGACTGACACATTGCAAGCTCTTGATTTATATTTTGTATTCATTATGTTGGATGTTCTGAACATTGTTCTGTTGGATAACACGTCAGCCCGATTTCAGCTGTTGGACAGATGACCTCCTGTTTGACTCTGAAATACTTTGATATACAGAAGAGTTCAAAGTCAAATCTATGACTGCGAGGTAACTTGGTCCTGAGGCTGCTATCTATCGCCCTCAACCACCACGCTTAACGAGTACGATGCGTTTGTGCTGAATAAGCTTGGCACTACAGCCAAACACCTCTAGATTTAACCAAAAGACATTGTTTCAGAACATGGTTTGTTCTTATGTAACTTTAAAACTCGTCATGCTGCCATTTTTAACAAGGAAACAGACTTTTTGTGATAATCCTTCCAGACTAGCCATACTTGTTCAGTCGTCTTCTTAAATCCATTTTAATGAATTTTACCACTGAATATTTTGAGTCCTATACAGTTCAAGTTATTGCTCTTCTGATTTTTGACAGTTTTCTGAGCACTGAATTGTCTGACCCAGAAAAACTAGTAACTGTCTTAAATATGCCAACATTTTTCAGTCAGGTCATTTGGACACTTTCTTTTTTTTGTGCTGAAATGTTTCACCTTCGATCCAGAAGGCTTCATCAGTCAAGGAAACACACAACAAAACTGATTCTTCCCCCAACATCTTACTCCAAAGTGGAACAAACCAGTTCTGTTGGTGCTAAGATGGTGTCTTTGGCACGCCCCCTCCTCCATTGCCGGCCCTCTTCCTTGTTGATGTCGTGTCAAACTGGTTGAAAACAACAAAGTCCATGCTCAATAATCCAGGTATACAATCCAACATCTTTCAGTCAGGTCATCTGGACAGCATGGACTGATGAAGCCTTCCGGATCGAAGGTGAAACGTTTCAGCACAAAAAAAGAAACTGTCCAGATGACCTGACTGAAAGATGTTGTATACCTCGATTATTGAGCATGGACTTTGTTGTCTTAAATATGTTTTACTTGTGAATACTTGTTCTCACTGTAACCAGAAATTTGTATCAGTTCCAGATTAAGCAGCATTGTGTTTCTGAGATCAGTGTTCTTGCTTTCTCAACATTTTGTTCCCACACAACTGTATGCTCCAGAGCAGAGGTCTGCAACCTTTTAAATCAAAAGAGCCATTTCTGTCCTTCATTTACTGAACAAAATGTTGAGAAAGCAAGAACACTGATCTCAGAAACACAATGCTGCTTAATCTGGAACTGATACAAATTTCTGGTTACAGTGAGAACAAGTATTCACAAGTAAAACATATTTAAGACAACAAAGTCCATGCTCAATAATCGAGGTATACAACATCTTTCAGTCAGGTCATCTGGACAGTTTCTTTTTTTGTGCTGAAACGTTTCACCTTCGATCCGGAAGGCTTCATCAGTCCATGCTGTCCAGATGACCTGACTGAAAGATGTTGGATTGTATACCTGGATTATTGAGCATGGACTTTGTTGTTTTCAACCAGTTTGACACGACATCAACAAGGAAGAGGGCCGGCAATGGAGGAGGGGGCGTGCCAAAGACACCATCTTAGCACCAACAGAACTGGTTTGTTCCACTTTGGAGTAAGATGTTGGGGGAAGAATCAGTTTTGTTGTGTGTTTCCTTGACTGATGAAGCCTTCTGGATCGAAGGTGAAACATTTCAGCACAAAAAAAAGAAAGTGTCCAAATGACCTGACTGAAAAATGTTGGCATATTTAAGACAGTTACTAGTTTTTCTGGGTCAGACAATTCAGTGCTCAGAAAACTGTCAAAAATCAGAAGAGCAATAACTTGAACTGTATAGGACTCAAAATATTCAGTGGTAAAATTCATTAAAATGGATTTAAGAAGACGACTGAACAAGTATGGCTAGTCTGGAAGGATTATCACAAAAAGTCTGTTTCCTTGTTAAAAATGGCAGCATGACGAGTTTTAAAGTTACATAAGAACAAACCATGTTCTGAAACAATGTCTTTTGGTTAAATCTAGAGGTGTTTGGCTGTAGTGCCAAGCTTATTCAGCACAAACGCATCGTACTCGTTAAGCGTGGTGGTTGAGGGCGATAGATAGCAGCCTCAGGACCAAGTTACCTCGCAGTCATAGATTTGACTTTGAACTCTTCTGTATATCAAAGTATTTCAGAGTCAAACAGGAGGTCATCTGTCCAACAGCTGAAATCGGGCTGACGTGTTATCCAACAGAACAATGTTCAGAACATCCAACATAATGAATACAAAATATAAATCAAGAGCTTGCAATGTGTCAGTCAAAGTCCAGACCATTTGAACTGAATGAAATGCTTCATGGCACAACTTGAGGGAACTGTGCTTAACATTTTCCACAAACCTGAAGGAGCTGAAGCATTGTTGTAAAGAGGAGTGGGTCCAAAGTTCTCCACAGTGATGTGAAAGACTTGAACCTAATATTGAAATATGGGGTGGTTCCTAATTTTTCCACACGCTGCTCCTGTGTTTAAGCCTAAAATAAAGTCGCATTTTCAAATGTTGTTTTACTCTGACTGTATGATTACTGCTGCGTGCAGGCCGAGGAGCTGGCAAACAAAGCCAGAGAGCTGAAGGGACTGATAGACGACTCGGAGAGCGTCATCTTTATTAATCTGGACAGGTACACACTCACTGCACTGCATATATACACTCCAAATGTGCAAAGGTAATTGGTTTTAGACATTTTAACATGATTAAAAACAGCCGACTGAATTATTAAAACTGTTGCAGAAGTTTGTTTGGTACTAATACTGCTCTAATGTTGATTACTGTCCTTTTTACACTTGAAACACCGTGAGTGAAAACGTTTCAAGTTCCTTTGAAGTAAAGTCACATGCTGGTCCTGTCTCTGCTGTCTGGTTTCCTGCAGCCATCGTAACGTGATGATGCGTCTGAACCTGCAGCTGACGATGGGCTCCTTCTCTCTCACTCTGTTTGGGCTCATAGGAGTCGCCTTTGGAATGAATTTAACAACAGCTTTTGAAGACGTGAGACATTTTGCTGCTAACACAACCCAATGAGAGTGTTGGTTACCTCCACCTATACTGGCATGTCTGTGTTTGCCACAGGACCCTCGGGCTTTCTGGCTGGTAACTGGCTTCATGTTCTTGGGCAGCGGGCTCATCTGGAGACGACTCTTATCATTTTTGGGAAGGCATCTAGAGCCTTCACTTCTCCCACCGGTAATATAAACTCACACATCTTCATGCAGTTTGTGAATCGTTTAAAGCACACACACATACATTTATCAGTACAGAGTAGTTTCATATACTGAGCTAAGTCTTCAGCCCGAATAAGTTCTTTTAGTTGTTGTGCAGAGTACTTTATTGATGCCAGAGAAATGTGTATTTAAAGATAATTTATTTTGTGTGTGATACAGATCCCCTCCATCTGGAAGAGAAACCTGAAGTCATCAGACTTTAAACCTGGAGTCAGATGAACTCTCTGCTCTGGATAATGCAATAGACTCTGCAGCTTTAAAGACACTGGTGTCTCACAACATTCATCTCTACACTGACATCAGTGTGAGTGGTATTACTGTAGCTGAAACAGATTACTACCTTGCCATGTTACTAGATTGTTGTTATCTGAAAGAAATTCAGAAGTGCTTTAAGGCTGTAGTTTTATTATTTAATTCAATGTTAAGTTTATAAATGTGTGTCTAACATTACAAGTCCAGCATGTTCATAATTTTTGCATTTTACTCTAACCCAAAGTTCTTACAGTGTGGAACATTATGCTACATTAGAAAGCAAGTTCTTATCAGATGATAATCTGGTATAGTAATTGCCTTCATATGTCAATAAATGCACAGGAACTGTTTTAAGAAATGTTGTGAAAGAAAACTGAATGTTATTTCAGCAGTTTGTTCCAAGTAATATCCACGTATATTTACAGTAAATTATATGATTTCTAAATTTTATATGATTTAGATGACCATGTCATGTAACTTTTTGTGTTCTAAAATTTAAAGGTGACATTTCATTGAGAATGTGCAAACTTAGAGGAATAAAAATAGATTTGATCACTTTCTGAACAAAACAAACAGTTAAATGCCTGAATAAAATGTATTGTTACTGACAGGTTGGTCAAAGGTTTAACAGCCCATACACTGAAGAGCTGTCACTAAATTAATCAGATTAGGTTAGAAAAGAAGTGTTACGATCGGTGCTGGGTGAAACACGCTTCTCACCCAGCACACACACTTTTTGCCCCACTCCCCTCAGGAAGGAGGTTGAGGAGCATTAAGTGTAGAACCACTAGACCGAGGAACAGCTTCTACCCTGAGGCTGTTAAACTCATGAATCTCTAACCAGAATAATCACTGTGAAAAATCACATCATGTTGCTGCTGATCTGTTTCATGTTGCTGCTGATCTGTTTCAATGTTGCTGCTGATCTGTTTTAATGTTGCTGCTGATCTGTTTCATGTTGCTGTGTTCATTCATGCTCATCTGCACACACAGACTAACGTTCGTGCTGCTGTTCGACGTATTGTTTTTGTTGTTTTTACGCTAGTGCTTAGCATATTTTTAGTTTTTCTTAGTTCATATCTTGTTGCCGTTTTTCTTTTACATTTTATTGTTGGATGTAACTGGGACCCTGTGTTCATAATTTCATTCACACCACATGTGGCGTGAATGACGACAAAGAAACTAAATCTCTGAAACCCAAACGCAAGCAGAGCTCCAGCAAAATCATAAAAAATGTGTTTATTTACAAAAAGGAAAAGAACAAACGTATAATGCTGACTTGGCAGCGATACTACACACAACTCGTAGGGATACTCAGAATAGCAGGACACTAGGAGCTGACCGTGAAGGTGCAGCAGGACACTAATGCTCCCCTGCCTTCTTGTAGGGATCTGCACCTACCCTGTGCACATAATTAATTACTCTCCAGGTGTTTTGTATTTGGGTTAATCAACGCCACCCCTTCATATACTGAGCTCTCCTGCGTTTTAAGTAAAGGGCAGGGAAACAAATTTTAGCACAAAAGTGCTGGTCTTTAAAATTTTTCTAAATTTTTGTAACCATTATTTACTGTTAACATTTTGACCAAAGTCATTAACGATATGCAACAGATGGGTAATCTGCATCGGTGTTCTAAGAAATAAGATAAGTCCAACAATCTTCTGTCAGGTCATCTGGATGGTTTCTTTCATTTATTTATTTTTTGCTGAGACGTTTCATCCTCGAAAGGACTTCATCAAATTGAGTAGCCACAAACAAAGTCAGTCCCACAAGCACCAACTCCTATAATGGAAAAAAATCAGTTTGCTGGTGAAAAGATGGTTTCTGGGGCCTGCCCTCTCCCCTGTCAACTCCTCTGAGGCAGCCTCAGCCAAAGTGGTTCAGAACATCAAAGTTCATGCTCAATAATCCAGGGGACTATTTTGTTTGTGGCTCCTCGGACTGATGAAGGATGAAGCGTCTCGGAAAAAAAAAAAAAAATGTCCAGATGGCCTGACTGATTTATTGTTGGAATTTTTTTTTCCCTGGATTATTGATCATGAGCTTTGGTCAAGTTAATAAGATTAAAAATTAAATTAGGCTAATTTCACTGCGCAACTCATTTGTTTACTGATGAGTATAATGGTACGGTGCATTATCTCTTTTCAATAAACTTAAAAAAGTTAGCTCAGCCTCTATTCAGCAGGTGGTCATTAAGTAAAAAATAGATGACACTGGATCCTTGATTGCAAAAATCAGGGTTTATTGAGCACAAATAATGGACATGAACAGTTTCTTGAAGCAAGGATCCAAAAACCCAAATCTTCTCAAAAGTACACAGATCCTTTAAACCTTTTTTAGGCATTGCCACAGATCTGTTTTTTCCCTACTTGCCACACGCACACTCAGACATATTTGGTGGTGATAAGAAACTTGCATGCATCTCCTTGAGGGGAACAGAAATACATTCTTCTGCTCTTTACTTCAATCCCCCCTGTCTGTGGAAATTACTCAAAAATTAATGTCAGATTTGATCCAACAATTTTCAGTCAGGTCATCTGGACAGTTTCTTTTTTTTTTTTGTGCTGAAACGTTTCGCCTTCCATCCAGAAGGCTTCATCAGTCAAGGAAACACACAACACAAAACTGATTCTTCCCCCAACAGCTTACTCCAAAGTGGAACAAACCAGTTATGTTGGTGCTAAGATGGTCTCTTTGGCACGCCCCCTTCTCCGTTGCCGACCGTCTTCCTCGTCAACTGTCGTGTCAGGAAGGTGAAACGTTTCAGCACAAAAAAAAGAAACTGTCCAGATGACCTGACTGAAAAATGTTGGATTGTATTCCTGGATTATTGAGCATGGACTTTGTTGTCAGATTTGATCATTAAAGTGATCCATTAACACTGTTGAAATATAATTAAACGTACATTTTTATGTTGTGTGCGACACTGTGATAATGCAGTATTGTAAAACTTGGGTGTCATGCTAACTACAAACTACGATTTTACCTAAGAATAATAGAATGCGATTAACTTTGAACCAATTCATAAAGAAACTATAGTACTTTATCAGTATTATCTTTATACTTTGCTTCCAAGCAGCCAGACTTTCTTGTAAATTTAAAATGGTTTTGAGTAATAGTCCTTCAGTAGGTGGCTTTTCATTAATTGTTGGCTGCTTTTTCACTTTAAGACCTAAAAATGAAAAGTTAGCAGTGTCTAAAGTCACTGTTTTTTAAAGAACCTGGAGCAAGTCCAATAAAGAGCTGACACGACCTGAAAGGTGCATCATCCTTCAGCTGATTACCGTCAAGTTTTCAACTAATGACTCTTTGGGAATATTTTATAGGTGCTAAAATACTTGATCAAACTTAATTATATATTTGACTTTTTTTTGAAAAGCATAAATGCATAATTTTTCCTATATAAATGTTGGATAGACTTTCTTTATATTGCTTGTTTTGCTCCAGAACCCCCCACTGTCCCTCCTCTGGACATGTCCAAACCATCTCAGTCAGGCCTCTCTAACTTTATCTCCCAGTTGTTCAACCTGGGCTGTACCTCTGATGATCTCATTCCTAATCTTATCCATCCTTGTCACTCTTGAGGAGAACCCCAACATCTTAATTTCTGCCACTTCCAGTTCCTTCTGTCTTTTTGTCAGTGCCACTGTCTCCAGACCAAACAACATAGCTGGTCTCACCACTGTCTTGTAAACCTGTGATGAAGGAAAAAAAACAAGTATGCTCAATCATCCAGGTAAATAAATCAAAAAAAGTTAAGTCATGTCTTCTGGACGTTTCTTGTCATTTCCTTTGACCTTTGCTGCCACCTTTTGGTCACAATTCAGTCCTGAAACTTTTCTCGATCCATGCCATCCTGCCTGGATTTTCTTTTTCACCTCTTTACCATAGTCTTCATTTTCCTGGACAGTGGACCCCAAGTACTTGAAGTCCTGCACCTTTGTGACCTCTGCTCCTCGTAGCCTCACTGTTCCACCAGCCTCCCTCTTATCACACACATGTATTCTGTCTTACTACAGCTAACTTTCATTCTTCTTCTTTCAAGTACATACTTCTACCTCTCTTAAGTTCTCCTCCACCTGTTTCCTGTTTCCACCACAGATCACAATGTCATCTGCAAGCATAGTCCACGAGGATTCCTGCCTGACCTCATCTGTTAGTTGGTCCATCACCAGAGCAAACAAGAAGGGGCTCAGAGCCGATCCTTGATGCAAAACCACCTCCACCTTGATGCTATCTGTCACAACTACAAAACATCTCACCACTATCCTGCTGTCCTCATACATGTCCTGTACCAGTCTAACATACTTCTCTGCCACTCTAGATTTCCTTGTGCAGTACCACACCTCCTCCCTCAGCACCCTGTTTCCTCCTTTTTCTAAATACACAAAGACTGTAGTTCTTTCTGACCTTCTCTGTACTTTTCCATCAGCATCCTCAAACCAAAGATGGCATCTGTGGTGCTCTTTCTGGGCATGAAACCATACTGCTGCTCACGGTCGCCTCTCGTCTAAGTTATCTCTCTCCCAGATCTTCAACGTGGTTCATCAACTTAATTCCCCTGTAGTTGCTACACTATCACCCATGTTTTTATTTTTTTAAAATAGCACCCGCACATTTCTCCCTCTCTTCTACTCTTCTTTCTCAATTCCTCAGACGTTTTCTCACTCTCAAAAAATGCCATTGAATAATTGAGTCAAAGACTTCACTGTTGTTAATTAATTTAATCAGGAAGTGGAGGGAGGCCTTCAATTCAAGAGACCAAGAGGAGTACGAGAGAGCCCGGTACGAGCTGCAGAAGTTCATCAGTAAAAAGGGCTCACTCAGAAAAGCTTGAACCTCAACCAAAACATGCACATCATGTGGCAGGTAATTCAATTGCCACAAACTACAGGAGAACTGTGACAACCACAGATCCCCGAGATGCCGCCCTTCCAGACAGCCTTAAAACCTATAAGCCAGGTCCGACAGGTTGAACACAGACACACCTTCAAGGGCCCCCTGTGACCCCATGGATACTGCCTTCTAGGTGACACACACAGGTCCTGAAAGCTCTGAAGAAGTTGAACCCCCACAAGGCTGGGATATCTAATGGAGTTCTTTCCAGAGTTCTGAAGGCCTGTGGGGAACAACTAGCAGGAGTAACACCGTAACACCTACGAGACCCTGAAGAGGGACCCAACCAGTGCCTACAAAAAGAAAGTCACAGATTACCTGCAAAAACTTGAAAAGGAGAAAACAATCAATCGATCTTTGTATTATAGATTGTACCCAGGGGAAGCCACTCCCTGTCTTTATGGACTCCCAAAAATACACAAAGAAGGAACACCGCTCAGACCCATCGTCAGCAGCATGAACTCTGTGACATACAATATTGTTAAACATCTGGCTGGTATTTTAGCTCCTCTTGTTGGAAACACACCTCATCACATAAAGAACTCCATTGATTTTGCTAACAAAGTTCAACACTTGAAACTAACCCCAGGAGAAACCCTTGTATCGTATGATGTGACTTCTCTTTTCACATGCATACCCATCTCTGAAGCAGTAGAAACCGTCAGAAAACAACTCCTACAAGACAAGGACTTAATCAACAGGACCAACTTCACCCCGGACCAGATCTGCACCCTGTTGGACCTCTGCCTCTCCACCACTTATTTCAAGTTCAATGACAGTTTTTACAGACAGAAGCACGGCTGTGCCATGGGATCTCCAGTGTCACCCATTGTTGCCAATCTCTACATGGAGGAAGTGGAACAGAGAGCCCTAAACTCCTATGAGGGAACAACGCCAAGCCATTGGTTCCGTTATGTGGATGACACCTGGGTCAAAATCCAAGCCAAGGAAATAGAAGCATTCACCAGACACATTAACTCGGTCGATAACAACATCAAGTTCACCAGAGAGGATGCAAACGACAACAAGCTGCCTTTTTTGGACTGTTTGGTTCAGATGGAGAGAGAGGACAGCCTCAACATTGAAGTGTACAGGAAACCAACCCACACAGATCAGTATCTTCTGTTTGACTCCCACCATCCACTGGAACACAAACTCTCTGTCATCAGAACTTTACATCATCTGGCCGAATGCGTCCCCACAAAGACAGAAGGGAAGGAAAAGGAACTGAAACACGTTCAAGAAGCTCTTCAAACATGTGGATATCCTAACTGGGCTTTTGTCAAGTCAGCGAGGAAATCTACAAAACACACCAATAAACAGAAAAAGGAGAACAACAGACGTAAAAACATTGTCATCCCTTATGTTGCTGGAGTATCAGAGAAATTCAGAAGGATCTTCAACAAACACAACATCCCAGTACATTTCAAACCCAGCAGGACTCTCAGACAGAGGCTGGTCCACCCTAAGGACAAAACTCCCTTACACAAACAGAGTGGTGTAGTGTATGCGGTCCAGTGCAGCGAGGACTGTCCAGACCTCTACATTGGAGAAACTAAACAGCCTCTTCACAGACGCATGGCTCAACACAGGAGAGCCAGCTCCACAGGACAAGACTCAGCTGTTCACCTCCACCTCACAGATAAGGGACACTCTTTTGAGGATGTGCACATTTTGGACCGAGAACACAGATGGTTTGAGAGGGGGGTGAAGGAAGCAATTTATGTAAAAAGAGAAAAGCCGTCTCTTAACAGAGGAGGAGGCCTCAGATTTCCACTTTCAAAAACATATAATGCAACTTTAAAACAGATCCCCAGCCAGTTTTCACACCTGATGGGAACAGAAGGGCCTCGACTGTGAATTAGAGGAACAAAAGACCTACTGTTTAGGTTTTTAGGTGTGAACTGCCAATCTACATATATGTGTGTGTGTGTCTTATGTGTGTGTGTCTTATCTCACTAAGGCTTATAACCTGTATCTCTCACTCTCTGCTCTTTGAATTGAGAAAGCTCCTCGGATGAGGAGCGAAACGTCTTCTGTTACAAATAAAGTCCAGTTGTTTTTGTATTGAACGCTTTTTGAATTCATCATGTCCTGAATGACTGAGAATCTTCACCAGCAACTAGCAGGAGTATACCTGTATACTGACATCTTCAACCTGTCATTATCCCAGGCAGTAGTTCCCCGTATTTTCAAATCCAGCATCGTCATCATACCAGTTCCCAAAAGTCCAGGTGCATCCACCGTTCAAGACTACAGGCCAGTGGCACTAACATCTATCACTACGAAGTGCCTAGAAAAACTGGTTCTTAAGCACATCAACAGCATGGTCCCAGATACTGTCAACCCCCTCCAGTTTGCCTACCGCCCTAATCAATCAGTGAATGATGCGAAAGCATTAGTCCTACACCAACTCTGCAACACCTAGAAAGCAGCAGAACATTTGCCAGAATGCTCTTCCTGTACTACAGTTCGGCCTTCAATACCATCTGCCTGGGGAAACTGATAGAGAAGCTGACAGACCTCGCCATTCCAACTCCCACGTGTAACTGGGTCTTGGACTTCCTGACAGACTACAGGTGGGTGTCTGCTGAACTCACAGTCACCACAGGATCACTGCAGGGCTGTTGCCTCAGCCCTAAACCCTTTTTGCCCTGTACACTTATGACTGTGTCTTCACCCAGCACAACACCATCATTACTAAATATGTTGATGACACTGCTATATTGGTGCTCATCCAGGAGGGGAACGAGTCATGCTACAGGACTCGGGTAGACAAAAACAACCTCATCCTCAATACAGACAAACCTAAATAAATCATATTGGACTTCAGGAAGAACCCTCCCCCATTACAGCCTCTCATCATTAAAGGGACCGAGGTAGGGAGGGCTGACAGCCATAGATTCTTGGGAGTGCAGGTTACATCGGACCTGAGCTGATGTCTCAACACCACAGCCACAGTGACAAAAGCCCAGCAAAGGCTTTACTTCATTAGGCTGTTTAGGAAAGCGGGTCTGAACCAGCGCCATCTCATCCAGGCCTATAGAGGATGATGGATGGTTAGTATCCCAACCACAGGCATCACCGTCTGGTATGAGAACACCACGCAAGCAGAAAGAAAAGCAGTGAAAAGAGTCATAAAGACTACGGAGAAGATCTCAGGAACAAAACTTCTTTCCATGGACTTAATGTACAGTGCTGTCGAAGAAGAGCAGCTGGAATCCTCAAGGACTCACTCCAGCAGCTCACTCTCTTATCAGACACAACAAATGTTCGTATACCCTGAGACACAGTAGAGCGGATAGCATCGTCACCCATAGTACAAAGTTTTTAATAGTTTTTTCCCTGCCATAGTCAGACTGATGGCAAAACAAAACTACTGATCAGGTGCAATAATAACATTACACTACCTAACTTCACTTGTCATGGGACATGGTTTACTTTCTGTACAGTGTAACAGAAACCACTTTGTTCTTGTTTTTATTGTGTGTGCGATTTCAGTGTTTTGACTATGACAGAGAGCTCTGCACAAGAATTCCAACGTGCCTGGATTGTTGGTCGGTGCACAAATGGCAAATAAAGAACTTTATATCTTTTGGCTCTCCTTGACATTTCTGTACCTCCACTGGTATGTCTAAAGTAATAATAATAAAGAAACTAATAGTAAAAATAATGAAACATCTTTCTATTCTATTCTTAAAGGCCAAATGTAAAGAAACCACTTGAGTTTAAATAATTATAATTATAAGCCTAGTCTTAAGAATCACGTAGATGCTTAACAACCTGTTAAAATACACCAAAATGCAGGAAATCACATCTACCGGTACTTTATTCAAATTTTCTGGGGGAGGACCCTCAGCCACCCCCACACCCACTATTTGTGTTCTGGCATCAATCTGTTACAAATGAAGCCCTGTTACTTTTCGATTACTGCTGTTTATAATTCGGTTTAGTTTTATGTAAAGAGTTTTCTGTAATAATTTGAAGAAGTGGCAAAACATTTATGTTCATTATGTGAATAGGTAAACTGGTTTTTGACACTGTCCATTTTCTCAAAACTGTAATATTTGGAAGTTGAAATTAAAAATATTGTTAACTGTGTCTTGAATGAAAAACACGCCATGTTTAAAAGCAGGGGTGCCCAAACTTTTTCCCTGAGAGGGTCGAATTTAAAATCTTTCAGAGGACCGCGGGCCAAATGCAATAATACATGAAATGCAAATACTTCTTTAAAGTCCATTTATTTATTACAGTTATTTATCCTTCCATTCTGTCTAAAGAACATCACATAACAGGCTGCGTTGCGGTGGGGGGGGGGGGGGGGGGTGTCTGGGGGTCCTCCCCCAGAGAATTTTGATTAAAGTAGATGCCATTTCTTGTATTCTGGTGTATTTTACAAAAGTTTATTACAGTAGAGTAACATGAAACAAAAGATGTAAACTCTGTTACTCTTGAAATCTGACTGTGTTCGTAATGCAACACCACTGCAGCTCTGCAGGTAAGAGGTGTTCACTTCAGGACAAATTGAGATTGCTGATTGGTTAGTTTCTGACGTGCCTACTGGATTGATTGACAGGTGGTGGAACTCGTGCAAAAAAAAAAATCCCATTTGAGACTCGTCATGTATTCCATATTTCTTCAATATTTTGGTGAATCTAAGGTTTGAGAACTGTTTTCTTACACAATCCTAATGATTTCTTTATTTTTCAGGGGTGCCACGTTTAAATTTAAAGAAGCTCAAATCACCACTGAAACCAGTTCATTTTTACAATTTACTTTTAAACACTATGATTTATAAGTGTGTTCTGTCAAAGGAAAAGGTTATTCAGTGGCAAGAAACTGCTGAGGAAAGGTAGAAAGTCTGTCAAAATGAAATATAAAAATATAAATTAAAATTATTTTAAAAATACATAAATTATCTACTCTACTGTGTAATCCGTGTAGTTAAATTATGGTAGTCAGGCCGACTATGGAATCACATGACTGGAATGATTGAGCGTAAGCACATTGATTCTTCAAAAGGAAATTTTGATATATTAATGAGGACAGCTTGGTGGGCCAACTTTGGCCCGCGGGCCCCACTTTGGGCACCCCTGTTATAAAGGAAAAAAATTGTATTAACACTATTAACTAACTAGGTCTTATGTTACACAAATATTTCAATTGCATTAAATAGACAAATGGGAAAAAAAAATGCGGGTTATGAGAGGGTCCCTGAAACTTCTTCTCCCCTGTAAGGGGTCCTGAATCCCAAAAGTTTGAGAACCCCTGCCCTAAAACATTGGCGCTTATTAGCAGGTAGACTAAATTTATCTTTTCAGAAGGGGTAAAGAAAGTCAATCCACCATTTTAGTTCAATCAGATGTAAAAAAATAATAAAAGCTGAAACATTTCAAGAAAGGCCTCTCGAGTTTACAAAACTGCCCATTTCTAACAAATTGGTGACATTACCACAGACATTACGCCTACACACTCCTGCACCAAATCCGCCATCCTGCTCACCTCAACGTCACGCCGTGATGACGTCATCACGTAGCCACGCTGCACAGACGGTCCAAACAAGTTTCCAGTCGAATTTACCATCTTGACGAGAGGAGTCGTTCCCTTAAAGAGCCGAGGTTTAGCAAACAAGACGGAGACTTTAGAAGAAACTTAAAGCGTGTTTCGTCACATTTTTTGTACACTTTTTTTTCCATTCGTTTGAAGACGTTTAAACCTTTTTCGAGTATTATTATTTTAGGTGTTTATTAATTTTTTTTTTTCCTGGTACTTTTTTCGTTCTTTGGTTGTAAAGATGAGGACTCTGTGGTTTTTCTTCCTCGTCGGGCTCTCGGCTGGGTCCATGAGTGAAAAGGTAAAAACTAACCTTTAATGTTGGCTTTGTTTTACATGAAGTCTAAAAATGACACAGCCCAAGACTTATCCAGAGAAAAAGCTACTTTTTAATCGTCATGAGAAGTTTAGACGAGACGAACGTCCCTAACGTTTGTTCAGTTGGCGGCTGTTGTTGTTTATCTCCGTTAGTTTTTTCTTCAAAAGTACAAATAACCAGCGTTATTTACTGTATTTATATACTTTTTATGGGACCACAGGATTGTTTTGTGTAAAGTATGTGCTCCTAATATTAATGTGGCAACCCATTTTGTTTGAGCAACAGTATGTACACAAGAGATTTATGACTAATGCAGTGATATGCTGATATTCAGCAACACTGAGCATTCAAGCCCAGTTCAGACTTCCAGCTGGTGTCAAGTTCACAAGTCTGTTCAGCCTCTGGCTCACAGCTCTGACATTTAAAGCAAAGCCTCAGAACAGGCCTGAATAACACCCCCACTTGTCTTTAACGTGGTAAAATACGTTTTCAAAGTAAAACTTGGAATTAGAAAATGATGAATTTAATCATTTTTCACCTGAGTGAGTTGTCTTGACTTGGCATTAGAGAAATTCCTCCCCCCCCCCCCCCCCCCCCCCCAAATCTGAGAGTGGGGAAAACACCTGGAAGTGCAGGCTCAAGCACAGCTATGTTTATAGTCACAAATGTGAAAAATGAATGTCTTTGCCTCATGATTTATTGAGTAATGAGTATATTAAAAAATCCCTAATAAGAGCCAAGGCATGTAAGATTTATGAACTCTATATTGAGAGAGAGAGAGATGGAACCTGACGCTGTTGTGGGTATAAAGGAGAGGGAAGCAGATCCTGGTAGTTGGGACAAAAAATAGAAAGTTGCAGGTATGTGAACATGAAATTAGCTATTTCTATTTTGCTTTAGGCTCCATAGATCCTATTCCAATCCCGTTTGAATTCAGAGAACACGAACTTCCTCAAATCTAACAACTTTCACATTTGACTAGAATGACGTTATTATTGTTCCCCATTCTGCTTGGATACCTCATGACTTTTTTTGTCATTATACGTTCAAGCCATCTTTCTCCTGGAGTGGCAGTAGAATAAGTCGTTAGATGGCCTGTGATGCAGTCCTCCTTTGAAAGCTGGCTGTTGAAACAGGCATTCAGCTTGTGATAGTTGTCATTTTCTGGATGGATGACTCGCAGTGATTCCCACTGGGCTTGTCCAGGCACGCGTGTAACTGCGTGGAATATATGTAGTTTTCCACTGATCTACACGAGGCGAGAGGAAGAGAGCAATACCTCATTACGCTGTTATTTATGGTTGTTTCCATAGCGCCTCTGAGGAAATTGAGGCGCACAACTAGTCTTGCAGCACATGTTGAGATGAAAAATGAGAACTGCTTAGATGATGGTGTAAATAAATCTAAGCGGACATTCCTTTTTGTTGTGAATTGATAAACAGTTCGGCCTATCTCAGGTTTTAAGTGCTCAGGTTCTGACATTAGTCACAGCATTGTTTGGGAAGACTGTATACAAATGTAGGGCTGAGATACTTCTTTAATATTTATGAGATATTCTTGGCGCAGTATGTTTAACTTTCTATTGCAACAAGCCCAGAAGAAATTTTCACACTCTTGTCGTGTATTTACAAGAGTACTAAAATCAAAATTGAGCTTTTTTCAGTGAAAGAAACAGGCTATATTGTAACCGGTTCAATAAAAGACCAGCACACAGATAATTAAAATATCTCTTAACAATTATTTTGCTAAACTGTGAGGACCAAGATTTAACTTGAGGGCAACCGTTTTAAATTACCATTAGTTCAGTTCCTCTTAACGTTATACAATACAACTTTATTTATATAACACTTATAAAACAACACAGTTAGCCAAAGGGCTGTACACTAACATACAAGCATAAAAATAAAAATAAAAAAATCAACTGAAACTGTAAAATTATCCACAGCAAAAGTAGATAATGTGTCCTATGGACGTGTGTTGTTGAGAAAGACATTCTATCTAAAAACAGTCTGTCTTGCTGAGAAGTTTTTAAAAAAGCTATTATTTTCCTTCTTTATATTTCTGATGCTTTTGATGTTGAGAGGTCAAACATTTTGCAGCTTGTACCTTCATCAAACTGGCTCTGTACACAGTGCAGAGTCCTGCTGCTGGAGCTATCTGCATGATGATGATGATGATGATAGACCTTCTATGTGCTTTAGGTTATTACACAACCTCACTTTTGACCCCTCTCCCCACTGACTTCCAGCTCAGTGGACAAATGTGTAACCTTTATCCCAGCAGACACACATTCATTATTTACTCTTTTTAATTACTGGATTTAAAAATGCTCTCTCTCTCCACATCTCTGAAGAGTTGTGCCACTCTAACCAGCTGTTTCCAGTAAACGTCCTTCACTTTGACAAAAGCTTTAGGAAACCACAGTCATATATGCAGCCTTTGTGTATATGGGATAAGTATGTTTTCCAGATGTTTAACTTCCCTGTCACTGCTTCCAGTAAACTCTGACGCAACGCTATGGATTCACAAAGAAAGTCTTTTTTTTGGGGGGGTGGGGGGTACATTTGGATATGTGTTTTAAACCCCTAGAATTGAACATTTGACCAATTGTACAACATTACTAATGATGATATAGATGATTATTAACACACACAGATATACATATACACACACACATCAGTTGCATCAAATTATATTTATCAAATTATATATTTATCATTACAGTTGCATGCATTAGTGTTAATTAATTAATTATATATTTATCAATTAAATTGTATTTATCAATAACTACCGGTAAGTTATTTTGCAAAAACAGGTTGTGATGTTTATTAATTACATAATTTTTTGTTTGAGTTCTTTAAGTCTTTACAGTTTAAGTGAAGGTAAAGGACTTTTTTTTCCTTTAATTCTTGAAGTCATTTCACTTCTTATTGATTTCCATGGATTCTTGAGAATATACACACACAGCTGTAGACATATCCTATATTTTATTTTTTTTAACTATTGGTGTAAATTACTTTTTTTAATAGTAGAATTTGTTGATTACAGTACTTTATGTGTGATTGTGCATGCGCCTTATTATTGCTAGGGGTGCACTGATTGCAACAAGCCCAGAAGAAATTTTCACACCGTTGTCATGTATTTACAAGAGTAGTAAAATCAAAATTAAGCTTTTTACAGAGAAAGAACCCGTCTATATTGTAACCAGTGCAATAAAAGTCCAGCAGTCACATGCTGAAGTGTCCCTGGGCAAGACACTGAACCCCTCATTGCCTCCGATGTGTGTCCCATCAGTGTATGAATGTGATCTAAAGCTCTGATTAGTCTCTTTAGAATGATTTGTTCAATTAGCTTTGTAGAGATCTAGTAGAGTGCTTTGTGAATGGGTAAATGAGGACACAGATTGTAGTGTAAAGTACTTTGAGTATCTTGATAAGTTAGAAAGGTGCTATATAAGTACAGTCCATTTACCATTGCAGTTTTCTGGCCGATCACCAATCTGTAAAAAGCCTGACCTGTCGATTCCAATTTTGTTTTATAAATGACACCGTCAAGTGTTCTAAGGTCACAATGCACCTTCAATTTTCCAATCTTATTATATTGGAAAACATACTCTTGAACAATATCCTAGAAACAATGCAAACTAATTTTAACTGGCCATGAGGTAGTGCTTTGAAATATAAACGAAGTTGAGCCAATTCTTGTTAAAACTACAAGAAATCTGTAAAATAGGTTTCTCATGTAAGTATCGGCTGATCTCCCAAAATTAAGGAAATCGGGGCCGATTTATCGGTGCACCTCTAGTTATTGCCAACCACTGTAGTTCAGAAGGTGATGTTTTTTATAATTTTGTCAGTGTCTGTAAATGTGCCCATTTCTCTGTCTTTTATCGAAATATATGATGAACCACATGAGGAACTTTAATAAAACTCTCAGAAAGTAATTGCAGGATGTACAACTACAAGTGATTAACCTATGGAGTCAAACCAATTAAAATGTCCACCACAGTTAAGCAACCTTACAAAACACAAATACAGGGGCTGGTCATAAAATTAGAATATCATGAAAAAGTTTATTGATTTCAGTAATTCCATTCAAAGAGTGAAACTTGTATATTATATTCATTCATTACACAGACCGATATATTTCAAATGTTAATTTCTTTTAATGTTGATGATTATAATTGACGATTAATGAAAACCCCAAATTCAGTATCTCAGAAATTAGAATATTGTGAAAAGGTTCAATATTGAAGACACATGGTGCCACACTCTAATCAACTAATCAACTCAAAACACCTGCCAAGGCCTTTAAATGGTCTCTCAGTCTAGTTCTGTAGGCTACACAATCATGGGGAAGACTGCTGACTTGACAGTTGTCCAAAAGACGACTATTGACACCTTGCACAAGGAGGGCAAGACACAAGGTCATTTCTAAAGAGTCTGGCTGTTCAAGTACATTAATAGAGACATGAAGGGAAGGAAAAGGTGTGGTAGAAAAAAGTGTACAAGCAATAGTGATAACCGCACCCTGGAGAGGATTGTGAAACAAAACCCATTCCAAAATGTGGGGAGATTCACAAACGGTGGACTGCAGCTGAAGTCAGTGCTTCAAGAACCACCACGCACAGACATATGCCAGACATGGGTTACAGCTTTCAAATTCCTTGTGTCAAGACACTTTTGAACAAGAGACGACGTCAGAAGCATCTCACCTGGGACTGCTGTGGAGTGGTCCAAAGTTATGTTCTCTGATGAAAGTAAATTTTGCATTTTCTAAAGAAATCAAGGTCCCAGAGTCTGGAAGAAGAGAGGAGAGGCACAGAATCCATGTTGCTTGAGGTCCCGTGTCAAGTTTCCACAGTCAGTGATGGTTTGGGGTGACATGTCATCTGCTGGTGTTGGTCCATTGTGTTTTCTGAGGTCCAAGGTCAACGCAGCAATCTACCAGGAAGTTTTAGAGCACTTCATGCTTCCTGCTGCTGATCAACTTTATGGAGATGCAGATTTCATTTTCCAACAGGACTTGGCTCCTGCACACAGTGCCAAAACTACCAGTACCTGGTTTAAGGACCATGGTATCCCTGTTCTTAATTGGCCAGCAAACTCATCTGACCTTAACCCCATAGAAAATCTATGGGCTATTGAGAAGAGGAAGATGTGAAACACCAGACTCAACAATTAGAAGAGCTGAAGGCCACTATCAGAGCAACCTGGACTCTCATAACACCTGAGCAGTGACACAGACTGATCGACTCCATGCCACGCAGCATTGCTGCAGTAATCCAGGCAAAAGGAGCAACAACTAAGTATTGAGTGTTGTACATGCTTGTAGTATGAACAGATGCTGAGATATATTCATACATTAAACGGGTTCTTCATTTTTCTGACTGTGTAACATGCGTGCATTGAATTTAACAGAAATGTAACGAGAGACATTATTTATCTTTGACCCATCAAAATGAATGCGGTCATTTATTTACAGAATCAAAGTTTAACATCAAACATTTACATTAATTTGGCAAAATATGAAAATAACAACAGCATAGTTTTACAGGAAGTGAGAACAATACGGCGATTGTTTTCACTTTTCAGCTAAAACGGCAGACATCAATTAATCAGTTTTACAAACAAGAAAACCATACGGCCATGATTTTCCGTTGCTTCACCACAGACATTAATGAAAACATCTGGATTAATTTTCTAGCAGAAAGGAGAGTTTAAAGATGGAAAATGGAGATTTATCTTACAGAGAGATGTGTGAGGGAATTTATCTGTGGTACCAGAACAACACGCTCTTTGGAAAATCAGCTTGGCCAACGGTACGCTTGGTCGAAATAGAACTTTTACCTTGCAGATGATAGAATCAGCGTCGGTGTAGAGTTCTCCTTTTGACTCTTTCAGCGTCTCCGGGAGGACAGCTAAGAACCTTAGGAGTCGTGTGAAGTTATCCAAACAGAAGTTATAATTCCCACAATCGTCTCTTGGTTCAGCTTGATTCTAATAGAAGCATCCTGAATGCCTGCGTTTGCATCCAAGAACTCTGAACTCTTCAAGCTCTGAAAAACTTCCCTCTGTTGAACTGGGAAGTCGCCACATTTAAACGGGCTATACTTCCGGTTCATTTGAGAGCTTTCTGATTCGTGGATGGACCAGAACAGAGGTGTGGTTTGTGATGTAAGGTGTTATGGAAAGTCAAGGATAGAGATTAAGATTGTTTAAAACAGACAGAAAGATTATTGGAGAAAACCAGACTTCGTGGAGTCTCTACTCAGTATCTTGCTGTAAAAGTTAAACATGACATTTCTTTTCAGTAAACTTCTTAGTTGACCGAAACCTGAACTTTAACACACTTACAAATTTGCTCATTGAAGACAGAAAAATCAAGAAATGCATATTACCCTGATTTCTTCTTTGAATGAGGAATAAAAATCATTACTACTGTTTAAGTAGATAAAAATGAGTAGTTCTCTTCAACCTGTAAACATTGTTTGAACTAACACAATTTGATTATCAAACATTTGTAAAATAGTAATGATCATAGAGGATTGTCTTTTCCACTTGATTAATTCAAGAAAGAAAGTCTCAGGATGGGTCAAACTGTATTTCTGGATGCAGATCAATGAAATGACAGTTTCTGACCATATGATCCTAAGGTCATTGATTTGACATGAGGTCAAGTTCACTACATGCTCATACTTTTCATGCTCATACTTTTCATGCTCATACTTCTCATGTTCATACTTTTCATGTTCATACTTTTCAAATGGCCAACATTTCTAAAAAACCCTTTTTTTTTTTATTGGTCTTAAATAATATTCTAATTTTCTGAGATACTGAATTTGGGGTTTTCATTAGTTGTCGATTATAATCATCAACATTAAAAGAAATAAACATTTGAAATATATCAGTCTGTGTGTAATGAATGAATATAATATACAAGTTTCACTTTTTGAATGGAATTATTGAAATAAATCAACTTTTTCATGATATTTTAATTTTATGACCAGTATCTGTAGACCATGTTTACAGATACTGAACTAAAATTTGATGTGGTAGTACTAGGTGAAAGAAATTCCCAGCATATACTCAGAGTGCTACACAATGCACGTTATCTTGGCGTTAAATGTTACAGTCAACACTGTCTGTCTGTTAGTAAATTATTTCATATATCACTGGACAGGTTTTAGCGTAACTCTCAAAGTAATCATTTGATCTACATTACTACATTGGAGTTACCTCAATTCAAAATGTCCACCACAGCTAACTGACCATAGCAACACAAAAAAATCGCTATAACTTTGTCAGCTTTACAGATTTCGAGTTAAATTTGGTGTAGTAGTAGCAGTTAATCATTACAACAACAGTGCTACCTTTAGTGCTAACGCATTGCAAGATCTCACAAAATTTTATGATGTTATATATTCCGTCTTTTACAGGATTTGACATAGACAGTACTAGCACTGGCTCTTTCTCATCATAAGTAGTTTTTTAGTTACAACTCATGCATGAAAGGCAGACAGTGGGTACATATCACAGTGGGTGATACGAATTTCTTCAAGGAATGCTCCGTCTTTTTTATCATACTAAACTCATGTTAAACTTTATCCTTATTAATGATTGGCGTGGTTTTAACCTCATAATCTTCCACAGTTTACAGAAGATCTTAATATATTGTACATTTGGTGGTACAGTATATCAGTTCAGTTGTACCTGATGTCAAAAAGTCAGGCAAGTTATTTTGTCCTTAATAGAAGACTCTTCCCGTCCTTTTAGGGACAGGTCAGTTCTTTTAGATTTGGTTGACCAGAAATTGCAACTTCCTTTAGCTACATGCTTAAAGTTTGAATTCACAGACATTCAATTAATTATATGAAACCGCATGCTGTTGGTAACTGTTGAAACTTTTTTGGTATGTCTGCCTGTGTGTTTTGTTTTGTTAGCCCATCGTCGGGATTTGTAGTCCCTGACTAATGACAGCAGGAATGGGAGAGCCTCTCCTGCAATTTCAGTCATAGTGTCAAATATGACACTCTTCTTGCCATAAAAATAAATGATAATAAATTTCATTTTGAACCTTTTTCACAATAGTGTAAAGTAAACACAACATCACAACTTGTATTGTATTCAAATATGTCATGCTCCTTTGTTGGAGATGAGACATATTTCATTAGGGTTATACAAATAAAATGTTTGTGTAGTTTTCAATGTAAAAATACAACAGATAGGATTCCATCCATCCATCCATTACCTTTAACCACTTCTTCCTTTTTGGGTTGTGGGGAGCACTGGTGCCCATATCCAGCAGTCACTGTTTGATAGGTGCCGTGGGACAGGTCTCCAGTCCATCACAGGGACACATAAAAACAAACGACGAAAACAACCATTCTCTCTCTCACTCACACCTAGGGACAATTCAGAGTTACCAATCAGCCTAACATGCATGTTTTTGGTCTGTGGGAGGAAACCAGAGTACCCAGAGAAAACCCACGCATGCACAGAGACAACATGCAAACTCCACCCAGAAAGGCTCCCGGTCGAGATTTGATCCAGTGACCTTCTCGCTGAGAGGCAGCAGCTCTACCAGCTGAGCCCCTGTGCCACCCACAAATTAGATTCCTTCCATCAAAACAGAATGATGTGTCCGGCTCCCTGTGCTATTACAGAAAACAAGTGTGAAACTTGTTGGACTTAGTCTCTCCTCACTTTTCATTGTGGTACCACTATGAAATTGTGGTTTATATTTGTTCTGTTTTTATAAGTTGACAAGCAAAGATATGTTAAATAAATCTGATATTGACTTGTGAAGATGTTTTTCTGTAAGATTTGCCTTGTACAGACCTCCCTCAGGTGATACTTATTATTATAGAAAGACGATGTTTTATCCCTTCTTATGCCTTCTTTTTGTCTTCAGCACTGCTTTTTAAAGATGCATTAAGAGACAACATTATTCCTGTGTCTCTTCTTCCTTTCTCCAGTCTTGCCCCTTTACAGATCTCTCAGCACCTGTGTTAGTGGAAGCATTGTATACATACCAGACATACTTCAAGTCTCAATGGGCCATATTCATCCATGTTTGTGTCTCTCTCCATCTTGACGCCATCTGTGTGATCCCCTTTTGTGGGTTGTTTCTTCTCAGTTTTAGTCGATCAAATTTTTATTCGTTTTCTGGATTCCTTGAGCTTTTGGTGGCAAATTACTCGTGACTGATTAGATGAAGAGGAAAGCATGTCTTTTCTTTTTATTAGCATTTTAAGTGTAGAGTTTGGGTTGGCAGGAACTTTTCCAGAGATTTTCACCATCTGTTCTGGATGTTGTCTTTGAAACTGCTCTATCTTTCCTCTCCTCCTCCTCCTGAACTCAAAAGCACTTCGATCTCTGCCGTCTGGCTCTGTTAAGTCACAAATTACAACCACGGCACATTAAATGAGCATGAATGCAGCTCAGATCTACTGCACACAATAGCATGGAAGCAGTACAAACTGTGGTTTCTCTCAAAGCAGCGCACACTTGTGCATATTTGGTCAGCATACATGACTGGTTGTGAGAGGTATTGTCTTACTCTCAAACTGCAAAGACATTCACGTGGTTTCAATTACAGTACCATAGTGGGAAGAATTCTGCAAGTGTGAATTTATGTTTCTTCCTTTTTTTTTGGATTTGTCCTTTTTAATTATGTTTGCATTTTCTTCTCTCTTGCAGCTCTTTGTCTTGTCAGAGTCAGTAGATGACCTGTACATAGAAGGCCTACCATCAGGAGACTCCCCTGTAGATGATGAAGGTGGCGATGACCATGATGGATCGGGCTCAGGATCCGGAGACTATTGTAAGAATAAACTGGGACTTTTCAGTTGTTGTTTGTCTTTAATCTCAATGAATATCCTGTTTCAAAAGTTTAATGAGTCTTGAACACATTGTACAAGTTTAGACCAGCTTCAGCAGTCCTGCTCGATGTACTTGAATGTGAAACGTTAAGTTTCTTATGTTGTTAACTTTATTTAACAGTAGAAATATATTTACATTACTAGTGCTATTAAAGTGCAAAGTATTGGTGTTTCGTGGTAAATCACAATCATTTTTGCAGTGAGAGGTTCTCACAGCATTTTTTTTCCTTCATGTTTTGCTTGCCAAATAGAAACATTGATAGTACCGTAATTATTGTAGTTAAAACATTTGATGTCACCACCTTTTCCACATGTAGACACATGAGTAAAAAATGCTGCAGACACCGCTTCTTGTACAATAAGACAGAAATACTCACAATAAGCCCGCGGTGATAATTTGTTAACCAGGTGAGGTTTTATTGGACGGCCACAAATGCGAGACAATCACTTTTTTTTACTATAAATAAACTGCAGATAGTACTCTCCTCAAACATTTTTTTCTAATCAGCAGTAAGTGATGAAATTCCCATTTGGTTTTGCATTACCCCAAGTAATGTCCTACTAAACTCAATTTATTGTTAAATTTATGTCAGTCAGTTCAAGTTTTCTCAAGCAATATCAATTATTTCTAGACCTAATTAAATCCAGTTTATTTATAGAGCATATTAGAAACAACCCAAGTTGATCATTCATTCATTCGACCTTCATTTCTACAGGTTAGTCTCAGTGAGCCACGAGGACTCATTTACAAGAGAGACCTGTTTTAAACAAAGAACACAGATGAAGTACAGACAACAATAAACAATCATATAAAAAGCATATAAACTGAAAAGTGAATGGAAGAAATTATATTAAAAATGAAACAAAAAACGGCTACTTACATTAATCAAAGTGTTGTACAAAACCATAAAATAATTCAAATGCATTAATAGACAAACGTATGAGATCATTGAGTCAGAAAAGGGATGAATGTGATAATAAAACATGTTAAAAGCTAAAGTTACTTAAACTATTTATTTACTTATTTAACCTCAGTTAGAAGATGAGTAAAGTTAATGTGTTTCAAGCTGTGTTTGAAAAGCTTCAGCAGAGAGAGCAGACGATTAGGAATAGAAGATTGTTCTACAGCTTTGGGGCAGGATATCACACTGCAGGTCTTAATGCTCAATTGTGGGGTTTTTGCTCAAATCCTCTTTTTTTACATGGTTGTTTACATTATCATTGAAGTGCAATCTCCATCAGACTAGTGTGAAGCATATAGAGTTCTGAGGGCACCCTCATACTCAAGAAAATGTGGCATCACACGCGACTTGGTTTGAGGAAATATATATGTATACTACACATGCGTGTATCAATTCTGAAGTTGTTGTACGATCCAAACCAATTAAATTATCATCTGACATGCTTGTTTGGTCCCTGGTCTATATGTAATCTTGCCTCTTGATGGCCCCTCTGGTGCAGTGTTGTATTACTGGAACAGGAGCGATGTATTAAAGGTAGAAGCAAACTCAAGTATGGATCTTATCACGTTTGCATCGATACGACCCGACACTAACGTTAGCGTCATATGTTGCTGTAGATTCTTATCAAGGACAAGACAAATTTAAATAATAAAACGAAGCAACTGGACTTCTGTAGCTGAAGACGTGCCAAGTTCCAAGATTTAAACTGCACCAAGTTATCGTTCTTATTAATACTTGGATTGATCTGCATCCCCCCTACCTCCCTGATTTATGAGTTGGATGAAATACGACATGACCATTCAGACTGAGGTCGATTTGTAAAACATATGTGTCAGATTCAGTACCACATATGAAAAAGACCTGAATTTGATTTGTCATGTCCAGACTGTCATGATAAAATACTGTACGATATGGGTGGGCAAAAAGTCATATTTGTGCTGCATCTGCCTGCAGTGTGAACGTAGCCTAGAACACTGAGCATCTTAACGGAGTTGTTCAAAAGATCTTGATTTGAAAATGAAACGAGCTGATGTCAAAATAAAAGGTTACAATAGTCTAACATGGAGATGATTAATGTTGAAATAACTGTCTTCATATCTTAGAATGAAATTGGTTGGAGCTTGGAAATGTTTTTAAGTTGTAAAAATGAGTTCTTTGTTAATTTACGTTTTAAGTGACAGTCAAATGATGACACAGATTCCTGGTGTGTTGTTTTAAATGCTTTTTAGTGGGAAGCTAGGACTGAACTGAAGACAGTTTGATGCCATCCAGCATTATACTTTTTTAACACAGTTCAGATGTGATGTAACAGATGCTGGGTCATCTGGATTCAAGGATATAAAAGTCTGTGTATCATCTATTGGACGGCTGCAGATGTGGGCGGCTGTGGCGGAGTAGTTACATCAGTCGTCCTCCAATGCAAGAGTTGGGGCTGAAGTGTCTCTGAGCAAGACACTGAACCCCTCATTGTCTCCGATGTGTGTCCCTTCGGTGTATGACTGTGATAAAGCACTGATTATTCTTTGTATAGGTCTAGTAGAGAGCTGTATGAATGGATAAATGAGGACACAGATTGTGTTGTAAAGTGCTTTGAGTATCTTGATAAGATGGAAAGGCTCTATACGAGTACCGTCCATTTACCATTTACTCAACAGCAGAATGAAATATTAATCAGAGAGTAAATGATGATGCTGTGTGTGCTTGTGCTGTTATTTTTTAAAATTATTTTTTATTTTTCTTAGCTTTGTGGACCGTTCGGCCCACAGAAACTTCACCAGCCACAGCAGAGTCTCCTTACACCTCGCCAACCACAGCAAGTGGTCCAGGTCCAGCACTCTCAGCAGAGGAGACATCTTTCTCCAACAACAGAAACATGGTAAGGGATGTGAAATAACACTTGTTATTCATGCACGCTCTGATTCTAAAAGTTAAACAAATCAAAACATTGGCTCCCAAGAAAACATAGTTGTGAATTCTTGTTTATAAAAAAAGTACAAAATTCAAGATTTTTAATCATTTAAAAAAAATTACATTTTAAAATATAATGTCACTTTTATAGTATGTGTCTTAATAAAGTATTTAATTTATTTTAATCATAATGCATTTGATCCATTCTTGGAATGATTTGAAACGTACATTCCTTTCCCATATTTTAATGAGATTTTATGACATATTTTCCAGTTTAATGTCTAAATGATGATGGTGAGAAAGTATTTAAGTCTAGATAATGCCTCGGGTTGTTTTTGATCTTTATGTTCTAGTGCATCGTGTAATCCTTTATCATTTTTCTTTTAGTTACCAGGAGAGGACTCAACATCCAACTATCTCGTTGATACCACCAGTTCTAGTGACATTCCTTTCAGTGCGTCCACTAAGCCCAACTGGGACATCTCTGAGAACAGTGTCGAGGACGTCTTGACAAAAATGGTAGACGTAAACGTTTTTGCTGATGGAGGACGGCATGGCAGAATGAACGATATAAACTCTGCAGAGGGGGTGACCTCTGAGAACTTGTGGGATAGGACAGATGTGCTCGCAGGTAAGGATTCATTCCAACGAGCTTTTGCTTTTTTTCTGTGAATGGCAGGAATTTAATTGGTTTATTTGGATTATTGATATTTAAATAAAAATAAAAAAAAGTTATTTGAAAGGTGAACTATTTCTAATGATAGAAGACTATCACTGTAATATTTGCAACTAGCATATGGTTTACAGTCAAGGATTCTTTTATGTCCTTCCCAGCTGTGATTGCATGTGGAGTGGTTGGGTTCCTGTGTGCCGTTTCCCTCCTCCTACTTCTCGCCTACCGCATGAAGAAGAAGGACGAAGGGAGCTACGAGCTGGGAGACACCAAACTTTCTGCAACAGCTTATCGCAAGGCGCCAACCAAGGAGTTCTACGCCTGAACTGGCCCACAGGGACAATCTGAGGTGGAGTCTGTCTCCTGCCAATCAGGACTGGACAAAATTGGATCTTTGAACAACTGAAGATGATTCCTTTTGATGAAGTTAGAACTCTCTGCTCTCTCTGTAGCACCATGCAATTTGTCATCTGTCCTCTGCCAAGGTTTGATCTTTTTTTCGCAGTATAACTTTCAGCTATTTTCAGAAAGGGTCATAAGGAAGTGCTCTTGTCTTGCCCTGCCTAACATGGACTTTGGCATAAATATTCACTTTACATGTTATGAGAGGATTTTTTTTTCTTTGATATCAGTGAATCACATCTGTTTTAATGTTATAAAATGGTCAAACTTAAACCTCTGATAACACTGTGCCTTTAGACCTGCCATTCCTCTCCAAGTTGAACCACACTGTCGTGCATTGTCCCTTGAAAAAAAACCTGAAGAACTGAACCAGTCCTGCTTCATTTTCCTGCATTAAGAAGATGAAAGAAATAACAGCTTCGTTGTTTGTTTTTCTCTAGTTGATTGTTTTTCATTGAGATGGTACTACATATGCAAATAGTATTACAAAGGGTCTTCAGATTTAGTCATTTGTCCCTTTGAGGTCATATTTGCTCTGCTTGTTAACAACGATGTCATGTTTTCTTTACTGTATCCTTTTTTTTTTGTTAAAATGAGTATTTTGCTAATGAAAATTAATGTTGTCTTTTCAAATGCTGTCCAATATTGCTTTGAGAGATGTTACTCTGCAGGTACAAATGTGTTTTTTTTTTTTTTTCCTGCTGATGTTTGACACTTATCGAACTGACCAAATATATGTGCTTAACTTGTCTCATGTAAGTTTAGTGGATTTTTAAAGTGTAGAGATTATATTTCTGTAAGCCAACATTAAAGAGATTTCTGTTATATTGTTACATAGCCTTAGTGGAAGTCCCTCAGGTATACGTATTTAGAACATTATTATTTTTAGGATTTATTTTACTTGGTGACCGGGTTCTGCAGGCATGTGGGACAGGTAGAGCCAAAACTAAATGACTATAATTCAAAACCCACAGAAGTGACCGAAGTGTTTGGAGACGGCCAGAGCACATTCCTCTCTAACTGTTCGCTACAAGCAGCTACAGTGCTGGCTTTGGTGTTAAAGGAACACTGACAACTCTTTAAGTTCCTTATTTTATTGTTTCACCGCTTATTCTCCAAACAAGGTTAAAAATGTAGTTGTAAAATATATATATATATATACCGTACATATGTTTATCCATGTATCAATACCTGTGTATAAATGGAGCTTTAAATGCATTGTTTTAGAGTTCTTGAATGGCCAAAAAGCATTTTGGGAGGTGCAGTAATAATGATAGGAGGCAGTTACTGCAAGCTCTAAAGGGTAGTATTCATATTTTATAGTACATAAACATGCACCCTGATGAAGCTGCGTTTAGGTTTAAAATGATTTTTGAATCCGGTACTACATCCAGGATCAGACTTCTATCTGATCCGAAGCTTTGTTGTTAAAAGGTCACATGACTGACTTTGTTTTAATATGGGCTGTCAAAATAACAGATCCATGGACTCATCTAAAAACAATTCAGCAAAATTACCTTGATTTCAGTTCTTTTGTTTTGAAGTGATACTTGGAAAACTTTATTTTATTCAAACTACCTATTTACTGTGACTGAAATAAACAGGAAGTTGTCTCGGACACGTTGACTTGTTAACATGATATTTCTGTGAACTCTGCACCCCTCAGTGCCTCACAGTGCGCATTCACTGTCATCTGCGGTGCCGTTACAGTCTTGGTGTCAGGCTTTGAACTTTGACTTGTACAGGATGAATAAAAACATAAACTTGTTCTGGGCTACATGGCACTGCACCAGCGTAGTCCAGGACATGTTGTCCTGCATAAACCAGACTCGTATGGTAAAGACACAACTCCAGTGGATATAAAACAAATGTATCAGTTTTATTATCTCTAAACTTAAATAGTTTGTGCATTTAATTTATATATACGTATATAACTTATACTTAAACGAACTAGGACAAAATGTGGATACTTGGGATTGTACAGAACTAGAAACATTTCTCTAAATATACAAATTCATATTTTGATATTTTTGACTAGTTTTTTTGTCATTTTTAGAAGAAAAACTTTGCATATAATTTCATTTAATGAATAAATGAGAACAGTTAGTTGTAAGTAGGTTAAATGCTTTTATTTTCACCGGTCATGAACTTATTTTATTAAAAAAAGATTCACAGACGAGTGTGAATTGTGTTGCTGACATTGAATTTTTTTAATGTTTACACTTCTGAATAAAGTGTGTCTTTAATACAAATGTATGTAAAAAAAAGCTTGTTTATTTACTTTAGACATTAGTTTATTCATATATATGTTTTGCTTTCATGCATCAGCAACATGCACTGTCAAGAGTAAGGTTGCTGTTCAAATGCTCTTCTACTTGTTTTCTGTCCACAGTTTTCAACCCTACTTTCAATAATTTTCTCTGATATCCATATTCTGTTCAATGAAACAATATACAGTACATTACACTGGAACTTCTGGCTTGTGATATACTTAGACTTTCAGATATTAGATAATCACTATGTTTAAAAAAGGCTAAGCTTTTTCTCCATGTTTTTGCAGATCTATGTACACAAACTATTTTAAACATTTGCCTTAAACCATGTCTGTAGCATTAGATTAAACCAAATGCTGAGACGGTTTTTCAAGACTAAGAAATGCAAAACACACACACAAAGGTCATATGGAACCAGTCTTTGCTGTAATGTATTTTGGGGTTTAAAGTCACTGGAATGTCATGTCTAGAAAATAAAAGTCAGTTTCTCTGAAACTCCCACAACATGAATGACCACTGGTCTGGGTCTGGGTTCCTCCTTTTCACCTGATGGTTGGCTAGAGTCCTGTTTGGGTTTCTTCTCTGCTTTCAGGAAGGCCCAGTTAAGATATCCACATTGCTCTAGGGCAGGGTTGTTCAGCTGGCGGCCCGGGGGCCAAATCGGCCCCAATGGTGAGGTCAGTTTGGCCCGCCAGTGGGTTAATTTTTAAATATAGCTAGATATTAAACTGTAAATCAAGCTTATGTTCTGCTGGATGTCTGGCCCCTGAGCCCTTGGCTTTCAGTAAATGTGGCCCTCTGAGCAGTTTTGTTGAATAGCCCTGCTCTAGAGCCTGTCTTGTGTGGGATTTCTCCTTCTGCCTGGCTCCTGAGGTTGGCAACAATAGGAGAAACTGGAGACCCCATAGCACACCCATGTTTCTGCCTATAATATTGCTCCCCATATGTGAAGTAGGTTGACTGCAGGCACAGTTTCAAGAG